CATCAGGTAAAAATGCCTTGTATTTGAAACAGAGTACAAGCAACAAGTACCCCAAAGTTCTGGAAATTTCTAATTGACTCAATAGACATTTTTGTCATTGCGAGCTTATGTTATAAACTTCTTGAGTTCAACAAATGAATATGATGCTAACCCAAAAAGTGCAAAGTGCAAACCTATTGATATGAACAGAAAAAGATAGGAGGATTATGATTTAGGAACACTAGAAAAATAATTAAAAAAACAAAAAACTTCTCGTCGAGGAACATAAACCACAGGCATCAAAGTTAATGTGATTGGCATGTTAGCCACTCTTCGAATAATCAGTGTCTTCCAATTTTTTTTATTTTGCCACATGATCGAATGAAGCAAATAAAAAGAGGTGGGCAACATAATAACTTACAAGGGAACCATCAGAAAGACTGTGTCGCATAGGAAGACCTGATTCACCCGTTATTTGACCAGCTTTTGTAGGATTTGCAACATTTCCTAGCTTTTTTAGCCACTCAACCTTATCTGCTACACTCTCAGCCTTTAACAGAACTGTACTTTCAGCTGCAAAACGCGTATGGCAACATTGTAACACACCAAGCAGGGGCATATCAGATCCAGTGATGGCCCCGGGAGGATGCATCAGTTAAAGGCGACATTGCAGCCACAAGAAAGATTACCTTTCATAACAGTCTTATAGGGGACCTTGCTGGTTATCTTGAATATGAGGTTGGATGCTCTTCCCGAATCAGGTCCATTGGCCTTTTTATCTTTTGAGCTCTTTGCTGAAGCTTCGTCATCATCAGAGATTTCTTCAATGTTGCATTCCTGATTGGGACAGCCAAAGCAACTCGGGATTAGTAAGCTGAAACCTTAAATTATTCTTTGTTCCCATCTACTCAAGACTCAGAAATAAAGCAATTTTCCTTTCTTTCTACCTTTCTCACTTCATATTCATACAGAATATCAAAAGAAAGGAAAATTGTTATGCATTCTCTTTTGTCGAATAACAGACACCAAAATGCACAGGAACTACTAACAAGTAACAAAGAAGATATGAAGAACGAAAAATGTGATCAAACATTACAAAATCTAGGCACAATTAATGAAAGAGGAAACCCAAGACAGATTGCGAAATGAAATGATTTGGGAGCAATGAACAAGATTAATAATTATTCTACAAAGAATTTCATATAATGAACAAGTTTATGTCATACCTCTAATGTAATGACTCCTCGGAAGTGTCTCTCTTCTTGTTTTTTGGTGTAACCAAGCTGCAATATAAACCAGTATCAAATCATAGTACCCAGAAAATGTTAATCATTAGCCCTCATAAAATCAAGCCGTGTGACACTGATAGTTACATAATCACATACATCAACCTCAACAGGGACAACACAAGGTTCTTTCCCTTAGAAGTTAATCATTGGCATCATGGGAGGAATACGTGCAGAGCAATGATGCAAAACAATTAGGACAGATAACAAGATGAAGGGGAAAAACTCGCAATTCCTTCCATCAGAGATTTCCTTTTTTAAAGAAAATTATGAAGATTAATCTTAAAGGAAGGTTAAAGATCCAAAGCACACCTAAACAGTAAGACACAGCCTAATGATCAAAAGACAAGGCAGCAAGACCAAATTCTTGAAGGACACATATGGTAGGATTACTGTACTTCAACAAACGTAATAATTACAGTCACAAATTGAAATCACAATTCACAAGGAGTTGTAATAATTTTTGAAGAGGTTTAGCCTGAACACATATACTGGACCTAACGACTTATAGACGATACCAGCCCAATGAGACTTTTTGATTTATCATAACATGTAATATTATATGCCCATTTTTACTTCAGAAAAATGCTTCTATAATCATTGCAGCGACGTTCTTTCATATGGTCATCAACAGGTCGTCCAAGTCCATACCAATTCGAAATGCTGCAAAAGAGGACCTCATTGCAACTTGATAAAATTATTTTGAGGAAATCTCAACTACTTACTTCCTTTCATTCTTTCCCCCAAGGACCTTACAGAACTTCACTTAATTTTCATACCAAAAAGGAAAAAGAAAGAAATAAGTTATATTCCAAAATCACTTCTGCACAACTTGAAGGTTTCCATGACTGTTGGTTGTTAGTGTCTTCTCCACTGAAACATAGGCTATTATCTTATTCTGTATTTTATCTATCTGATGTTTATTCCCCAAGATATCAGATTAGATGTATCTTGTAGACATGATTATATTCCCTAAATTACAGGCTAGAAACTGGGATATATTATAGTGAATCTTAGCATCTCAGAAGCCCTATTTGCATCAGCTGAATCTCTCTGAATAATATCATTCAGTTTTCATCCTCTCTTCGTTCATTGGTCAAGTACTTCAATTATGAAAATAACCATAACGTCAAAAACCATACCATTTGAATTGAGTACGCTACTTAGTTCCAAATAAGCCTTTTTTTTTTTTAGTGAAAGTTACAAATAAGCCTTTGACAATGATATACTAACCTTTCCAGTCTTCTCATTCAAAACGAACCATCGTCTACTCCAGCCACTAGTTTTTCCACTTTTTTTAAACAAGTAACCTGTGTTGAAGAAACAATCCATAAGAAAAGGTAGAAGCCGATTCCATGTACTATAGTTAAGTATAACTATAATTTAAGAATGCAGATTCCTTACCTTAAAATAGAAATAGATAGAAAGAAAACAAAAGCCTAGGCTGGGAAGATATACAAGCTTTGTAGTTCCATATGCTAATGGAGTCTAAAATATTACATTTTATGGACAGTGCAAAATTCACATGCCCAATTATCTGTTAACTTGAAAATATAGAAAGGTTCATTCCATTCTTTACAAGTGGCAGGAAATAGGGACAAAATCATTCTAGTTTTTTCTCCCTTTTCAGTGATTTCAATGACGCTGGCTTCTCAACCGCTTTCACATAGCCACATAATACTATTTCTTTTGAATAGAGAACATAATATTACATGTGCCATATCAATTTAGTATCAAGAGTTTTAATTAACCAACCATTGGGAAATGACCAACCACTGCTGGAAACAGTTTAATAAGAGGAACCCCAAGCGCAAAGAGGCAACTGTTTTAACAAGGATAATATCGAAGCTCTTGAAGGCATCATCAACAGAAGAGATTGAAGCCACCAAACACATATTTAGCGCATTATGTCACAAAGAGACCTTGATCATACGGTCAAGCACACAATAAAATGTTATGATCAATTTGTAGAAACCTGCAGTTATCTCTCCATCAGGCCCAGCCGTCTTCAAACCAGATCCTTCTTGTGTATCCTTGTCCTGCTGACCAGATTTATCTTTCATTGATTTCAAGGTTCCTCCACTTTGTTGACCAGTTTGAGGACTAGCAGCCTAGAAATGAAAACACATTTTATTTCATGCATCTAGAAGAAAAAAGCTGATTTAATACCTATTTCACATATAGCACATCCAAACTGAGTTTCTTAAGACGAAAAAGAAGACAATCCCACACCCGATTTAGACCAGACTGTTCAGCCTCAGGAGCCCTTTTAGAAGACCGGTTCTTCAGCTCATCCTCTTTGCGCTGCCTTTCCATTCTAAAGCAATTGATAAAAAGTGTTGCAACATTAAAATAAGATATGCACAACTAAAAAGTGTAAAGTTATCATAATATTAACAAAGATCCAGAATTTTCAAGAAATACACATCAAACACAAGAATTACTTGTGGCTTTCTAATTTGGGACTCTATCAGAAGGTCCACTGGACAGTTCAAACACCACAATTTTCAAACTTCACTACATGCTGGGAAGAAAGATTGCCATTCAGTGTTTTTCTCAATTATAACCTTGAGAGTGACATGCTCAATTATTGGTCCGAGTTCTAGAAAATGCGTCTTCCCTTTTCTTAGAAAAGGGTGCAGCTTTACCGTTTAAATGATTTGAGCTTAACTGAAGAGGCATAGCTGGTGCATAACAGGGATTATCACAATTTTAAGATACTGCTTCAGAGCTTTATGTATGAACAACAACTAAGTGTTCCTAGTTCCCACTAACAAGCAAGATATTGAGCTAACAGATATCTAACATACCGTCTCTGCACTAAGCGAATGAAGTGTTGGGGTGGAACAAATGCACGCTCCATATCAACTAAAGCCACCACCATTTTTGGATTCATTTTTAAATCCATCTAGGGCAGAACTTGCAAGCGCCACAAGCTGGTTTTAAATTTTGAAACATAAGATAGACCATTCTCAAAATTTAGACCAAGTTACTTCCAGATTTCTGCAAAGCATTTTTACCTCTCTCTTAAATGGAGGATATCGTCCAAGACCAGGTGTAGCATTAGCAGCAGCAGAAAACTATATCCAAAGTACACGATGCACTAATTTGGTTGTTACAAAAAATAAGTTCAAAATACAGCTCAAGAGAAAAATGGAACAGGAATTTTACATCATCAGTCTATCAGAATTCAGAAACTACCCTAAAACTGCAGCACCCATGTGACGATAACATTAAAAAAAAAAACCCAAGTGCCCTAAGCTCTACCGGACTACAGATCAAAACAAATAAAATACCTCAGAATCCAAAAATACATAACACATCAGTTCCAAATTAACAATTGTTTGAACTATCTAGCCAACGTGATCATTTAATACGCCAGACAATCAGCCTTACAGTCCAAAGGTTCCCACACTTCAGACATAACAGATGCAAAGAAAAAGAAATGAAACACGGGCCTTCCCTTGATGCAAGCATTTGATGAAAATTAATAGCAAAAGGAGACAGAACAAGAAAAGGCACATGCCTATTTATCATACAAGTAAGAAAAATTTCAGCCCTCTACCCCAATTCTCACTAAAAGTCCTTTTTATGCCTCTTTGGACATAGCATAATAGCCACTTTATAAATAAAATCGATGGCAAATTAGAAGCATACCTCATCAACACACAGACGTGATGGCTCCTTTGCCATTTCAAGAACACCTTTGATAAGGACCTCAACCCTTTTTCTGGAGGAGAAATAAGATAAGGTTGATATCCATCTGCTTCTAGGACAATCTAACACAAGTTTAAAGAGAAATATAGAAACAACCGCACCTGAAGCGAATGAGGAATTAAAGATTAACTTGGACAATAAAAGTGAAATGTTCAAAAGACAATTTACCCTTTTAACATTGTTTATGTCAAAGTGTCTGTCTATAGGAAGCTGTTTAATCCTGTTGGGAAAATTGCCTTCAAAACTGGCAACAACTTTCCAACCATTACCCTGCAAAGGATTGGAGGACTGAAGTTACAAAAACAGATATCTACCAGTATAATGAGTTATTATTGATAAACTATGATTAAGGAGCTGATTGAGAGTTGAGTAATCTAAAGCTGTATAATTGAAATTGTATGCTCTTCCCCAGCATAAATACTAATGTAGGGCAAAAGCGTGCTTCAGTTTTCCTCTCGCTCCCTCTCCATCTCCTCTCCCGCTCAGTCAGTCACTCTCTCAGCACGCACAAAGACTCCCTCTTTCCTGCCATGAATTTCTGCTCTCTACCAGTTATATGATATTGTTTGGCCTGGCTGTGGGGAATTTTTTTTTTTTTTTTAATGGAGGCTGATTTATTCCTCAGTATTGGTGGCTTGTGAGGTTCACCTAACTGCAGCTTACCATAAAAGTATATTTATTTCAAGGTATAAACAAAAACAATCGCCGCAGCAAGATGTTGGAGGAACTTGTCTTCAAATTCACGGCATAAATGCAAGGCTAGAGCTTTGTACCTTCAGGACTACTAACACATTTGTTCACCAAGCTTCATTAATTCCTCCTGAACAATTTGAGACTTTCCCTGAAGGACTGCAGCATTTCATTTTAATTAAAAGAAATGAGAAATCAAAGACACATTATAAAATCTTAGCAATAAAAAATGCAAAAGGTCAAACTTTAGCTCTGAAATCATGGGATTTACAACATCCTAACCAGGTCACTCTCTCTTTCATAACAGACCTCACATGTGGGCATTATCCAAGACAAAGAACCTACCAAACAACATCTCATGATCATCGAAAATTCTTATGGACTAGCCAGTTTTATAAACTGGAGGCATCTAAGTTAGTTAGGATACTACCAAACATGACAAGATGTCCATATGTGGAGTAGTAAAACTGTAAAACCCCCCTTCCAAATATCCAAATGCTTTGACAAATTTTAATTGTACAACAAATAACAAAATTACTCCCCCCGTTCCTGATTACAGGTCACATTAAACTAATTAAACAAACCAAGAGTTAGAATTAGTTGATTTTCTTAAAATCACCCCATGTTCCACAAATACCCTTAATTAATGCAAATTCTTTATCATCTATCCCTCTCCTCTCTCTCTCCACCATAACTACTCTACAATATTCTTTCCAAGGGCTATATCAGAAAACAATATTGATTACTTCACAAATTTTACAAAAATGACTTCGATAGGAACATAAAAAA